GTTCGTGCAGGTGTGGCTGGCAGTTGTTGTTCGAGCGCGGCTAGTCTGGCAATATTAGGGTCTGGCCGAGATTGACGTTGTAGACGTCGATTTTCTCGAATAATTGCTTCCGGGTCTGGCAGAGGTTCTGGCGGAGCTTTAGGATCGGTGGTGGGGGCTTGACGCCGTGTAGGCATACACGACGATCAAGTGTGGAGTTTTAACTGAATGCGGAGTAGTGGCGTTTTAAAATAGGTAAGGTTCTTCGGAATGAATTGAGTCGAAGTCGCATACAGCGTTAACTTGGAGTATCGATTGAGATTGAGTTTCAGTTGATGAGAAATAAAATCTCGGATTTTGGGTTTGAGAAAAAAAAAGTGTAAGGTTCCTGAGAACCTTCACTCGATACTACGGAACGGGACACTGTGAGACACAGCGAGAGGGTTTCTAGAACCCAAGAGACCTGATTTTATATTTCAATACCTAACAAGAACCCATCTGGTTCCGAAGGATGAAGGGAGATTTAATCAGTCCCGATATCTCTCCAACTATATGAACTAAACAAAGCTGAAAGTAAGAGAAGAAGAACTGAAAGCTTGACTGTACCTGGTTCCGAAGGATGAAGGGAGATTTAATCAGTCCCGATATCTCTAAGGAACCAGAACGTACAAAGAGAGAGAAACAAGAATATATAGTACTTGATGTTAAGTCTTAAGTGTTATGTCTAAGTGCATGATCACGTGTCTGTGTAATGACCAAAGGTCTTACACCTGTGCAATCCCAGTTTACCAACTTCAAAAAATACTGTTTTCTTAATAACTTTTAGACCTCCCTATCAATCATCAAGATTAAGGTTCTTAATGTATACTATAATTCTGTTTCTTCACATTCAAACCCCACAAAACCCATAAACCCAATATTACTACCCTAAAGACCATTTCCCAGCCTGTATACCTATATTTTTGACTTTTCTCTTAAGTTTTGCTTTCTTCTCTTTTTGTAACCCATTTGTTAATAGTTTATGCTGATCTTAATAAGTTGTTTTGAAATAGGATTTCCTAATCATGATTTAATGTGCAATATATGAGCCTTAAAGAGCTTCTATTGATCAGATTCCACCTATTTGAGTTTCCCTTTGCGCCAAAACCTTTCTAATAACTTTGGTAAAATGCTATCATTATTTTTTTTGGTTAATCCAATAAATTGATCAGCACACCATGAAAACAGTCTGTATGGGTTACACACCATCCAAAAGTTGACCAGGAGAGTGCAAATACCCAAATACAGCACAAGAGGGCTGTATCATCTAACCTCACTCATTTTGGAATAGGAAAAACCAATCTATCTTTGGATTATCACTCACAATTCCAAGGACTCTCTTGCTTGGCTCCATTGGATTTCAATGGTTTCACTTGTCAAGTATTTACACAGCTGCGGTCCTGTCAACCTCCGCATAGATTTGTCATACAGGCTGAGCCCTGTCAAAAGGTCATTGTACAGACAACTTTGTTGCATGCTATTGGTGGAGATGCTCTTCTCTTCAAGCCCATACCTCCTGAGTTCATAATGACATATGTCATTTGTATGAGTTATACACGGATTACAAATGTCAATGATTAGAGCATCCCCAACGCGCTGCCGGAAACATAACCTTTACATAGGGTTTACCTAGCATTTCTGACAGAAACATAATGTCAAAATTACGTTTGTAAAGGTTTTCCAAAAAACAGCCTCCAGCGCAAGTAAAAAGTCGCACAGTTGGCCATGGGTGTTACTTTGTTTATTCTGCCAGCTGGAATATGTACGGTTTGTTGTAATTGTTTCTAGCTGAGCCGGAAACCTCGGAAAACATGATTTCTCACAATTTGGACATGTTGAGACCACGAAACTTGCCTCTTTTGTTCCCTCGTGTCCTATCTCAAAGCTTGAAGCACATATTACCACGACCTTGATCAGATCAAGCGGCCAATCCATGTGATTGATCTGATCGTGTCCTATCCTTAGACAGGGGTAGAAACCCAAATCTCATATTCAGCTCACGTGGTGCTGCCTACTGAAGCTGAAGCTGAAATACAGGTGTCGAAGTGTCATTTGTGACACCTGTACCAGGTTTCCAGTTCCCGGCGCATTGGGGATGCTCTTAGTTTGTGATCCCAGAAAGGCAGAGCTTTGAAATGATCAAGTTATTATTTCTCAAAACGTATACAAATACTAAACAAAATATGTAAAAGTAGAAATAAGAATTAATAAGAGAAACAAGAGAAAGACATACCTATGAGTCATACACAGATTACAAACGTCAATGATTAGTTTGTGATCCTGGAAAGAAAGAGCTTCAAAATGATGAAGTTCTTTCTAGGTGTAGACCCATAGACATCTTTATGGTCAGATGAAGATAGACGAGAGACAAGAGTTAAGAAAAACAGAAACATATCAAATGACATCACACAGGATGATCAGTAACATAACATCATCGCGCAGGATGGTTAGACATAGCAACAAGAGCACATTACAAATTTGATTTATCTGATAACAATACTAATACGGTCACACCAACTAACAATTTGGATATTTTATTCTTATTTTTGATCATAAGAGGACACAAGGGTCTATCTCTCTCCCTCTGACATTAATCCGTCAGTACTGCCAGGACCCCAGTATGCTCCTATAAGAGGTAGTCACACAGGATTGTGACTTTTGAGCTGCTGTGGAATCACACTTCAGGTGATCATAAAGAGCTCTCATGTTTTCTGCCAGTTTTTCTAAGTTTCTACCTTCCATTTGTGTAAGGCCAAGTTGGTGTTGTCAAAGGCAGAGAAAGGTCACAAGGAACTCTGAGGAAAGATTAAAACATACCTAGAGCTATGGATGAAGCCAGGGACTGACTTAGCAGTTTGCCAGGGGCAGGTTTCCACGGGAGCTCAAAAGTCACAATTCTGTGTGACTACCCTTTATAGGAGCATACCAGGGTCCTGTACTACCTTCCTTACTAGGTGCACACCTTATGGACTTGCTCCATATATCATGCCTCATGTAAAGGCCTAGTAAGAAAAGTTTAGGGAATCCTATCATAATTGAAGGGAAGGGGGATTTCCTTTCAAATGGATGAGAAAACTAACCAAAGTTAACAACTATGAAGTGAAAGAAAATGAGTCCTTAGAAAACAAGCGATATTTCAAACATCTTGTAAATTTGAAAAAGAATTCAATGCAAACAAAATCCATTGTAGGATCATGACAAGATAAATCACAGAATCATCCAAAAAGAAAGTTTATTATTTTACTTTTTCACAATCCAATTCAAAGTGACGTGTGATCATTAAAAAGTAAAAACCAAGATCAAAGATGAGTTAACAGATATGCAGGTATGCCAGCTTCACGCCAACCCCATTCTTCTATTGAAGGTGGACCAGAAATCATTCTACCTTTACCAAAAAAGGATTTTCTAAAACCAGTGACTGAGATCAAGGTGAAGGTATAAACCCAAATGGTTTGAAAGAAGGGTGACAAGTGAGGAAGAAAGAAGGGTTCAATGAGGATAGCGATAGGTTGCATTGTGAAATATGCCATTGGAGTATGTATGAATGAAGTTAGACTCGGTTTAAATGGATTAGGATGGGATGGTGAGTATGCAATTCCCCACATGGCTGATGCATAAAGATTGAAGAGAGTGACATGTTAGCTCAAAGGTTGCGTCGGTTGATTCAGCTGCATGAATCCTTTAAGATCTGTCGTAGGACTTGTTAAACGAGCCCATATATGATCACTTACCAAAGTCATGATAGAGACCTGAACAGAAGAAGGTAGCAAAGAGGATCGCGATTCGCTTTCCTCGGCCACTTAACATTCCGAGAGCAGTGAATGGTTTGACAATGAGTTGACCAGTAACAAGGAATGGCCAACGAAACATGGCGTGCCAGCCACTTACACAAGGTTAACACAAGAAAAAAGATATCAATAACCATCGTGTCCATGATTCTAGAAAAGGTTACACACCGACCCCAAAATTCGGCCATTGAGCGCGCACGATGAGGCTGTTTGAAGAGGTTGGGAGCAAAAGCTTGAGGAGACCAGTAAGCCGACCAGGCTGGCCAGTTGAGGGGAAGTGCATGAAGTCCTCGGGCAATAAGAGAGAATACGATATAATAGAGTTCCATTGATCCCATGATAGTGATACCGAAGGTGAGATTAGACAGGAGGCCTGTCAAGATAGAATGATTAGGGGCCCACCATCCCACACCACGATCACGGTCGAGAATAGCATAAGCTAAGGAGGGTACGAAGAGTGCATGAATGATCAGAAGTCGACGAATGAGATCGAAAAAAGTCGGAACCGCGATTTGTGACCACGGTTCAGAATGAAGGCCCCAAGTGAAGTGGGAGCCACGATGCGATGTGTAAGCCAGAAGTGACCAAGTGAACCAAGACCAAAGTCGAAGAGGCCGCCGCTGAGGAGATGAATTCTGATCGTCATTTTTATCTTTTCCTTCCGAATTTGAAGCCACAGGATCAGGCCAAGCGAATCGATGAGTGAAGTATGGACCCTTAGAAGCAGCCCATTCGATCGATCTAAAAGCGTGATGCATAGCTTGAGAACTGAGTAATAAATTCGATCCACTTGCGTCGTCCAATGGTCTCCAACAATATCGTTTAACAGCCGAGTAACAAACGTATAAGTTGAGTGGCAGTAAAAGAATCCTGATCCAACGAATCAAAGGTTGTGGAGATAGACCTGGATAAAGTAAACTGCATTGAAGTAAAATTGGGAGGAAGTGGAGAAATAGACGCGGAGTTGGTGTCACACAACTTTCTTCATCGATCACCATCTTTTATACCCAGTCAAGTCTCAAGCAGATAAAAAAACTACAGATTGAATATGATCGTTATCGACTGTGATAAACAAAAATGAAGAAGGAAAATAACGTTAGGTGAAAGGTTTCGGTGTTTTCAAGGATCAGTCATGAAAATTGCCACTTACAACCACGCTTATATATGAATGAATACAAATCAACACGGCATCCCTTGGCACCCGTTTTCCCTTTTGAAGTACAACGTACATACTGCATCTTCACAAATGCTTGTCCAATCGAAGCAAAAAAAGTTGCTGCCGGTCGGACCCATTTGTGAGCTGGATCGTTAATGAGGGTCTGTGCACGATCGGGGCTTCAGCTTTTGTAGCTCTGAGCTCTGAGATTTAATTTTGCTGTTACTTGAGCGAAGATCCAGAGAGCTTCTGCCCAGATCACAGCTCAGTTTTGATTGTGCTTTCAGTCAAATCCATCAGCCACCATTTGATTCAGCAACCACATCAATGTTTGTCAAGTACCCCCCTCGAATCAAGGCTCTTGCAGTTATCAAAATCCTCGAAGGCAAAGCCACTGACGAGATTTGCGATGAGCTCCATGCCGACATCAGTAAACGTTCTTTCAAACGTTGGATGAATCTGTATCAAGAAACTCGGCAAGTCATCCGAGATCCTGAAGGATACCAAACTCGAGGACGGAAAACTTTGCTTGACGACGAGGACCGCGACTTTCTGAATGAGCTGGTAGCTGCATCACCTGACCTCTTTTTAGACGAGATCCGGGAAAAGCTCTACGACGATACCGGAGCACTCCCTAGTGTCGAGTGTCTGGCTAACGAACTCAATCATCGCTTACACCTTACCTCAAAGAAAGCCAACACATCTCATGTCAACAAAGATTTTCAAAGAAAAGCTCAGTATATTGAAAGGATGCGAGATATACCAGCTGAGATGCTTGTGTTTACTGGTATGTTTTCCACTTCTACTTGAAGGAATCACCATACTGAATCAATTATCTTGCATCAGATGAAAGCTCGATATGTGAAAGGGACTTGCTACGTGTAAATGGTCGTTCAAAATCTGGGGAACGAGTCTATCGATGGGTCCGAAGAAACAATCCTCGCCGCTACTCTCTACTTCCTGCGATTGGATTGAATGGTCTTCTGGCATTGACAGTCCGAGAGGGCAGTATCAATCGCGAGCGATTTGAATCCTTCTTGGAGTTCCAACTGGTACGTGATTGATAGATATCCTGAATCATTTTTACATCCTCACTTTTTTCCTTCCATGTTCAATAGCTGCCACAAATGCAACCCTATCCAAATCCCAACAGCGTACTGGTGATGGATAACTGCTCAATTCATCACAATGGACGAGTAGCTGAGCTCTGTGAGGCAGCAGGTGAGGTTGTGGTTGTTTACTCTTATTCAGTGGTCATTCACGAGCTGAAATGGTGTCTGGTGAAGGTGTATTACTGGTATATCTACCACCGTATTGTCCAGAGCTCAATCCCATTGAGTACTGTTTCTCTGTGATCAAATCACGCTTCAAGAGAACTCGCATCCTCGAGAATGCAAATGAAGATGCGAATTGGCCAATCAGAGAGACAGCAATTGATGCAATCACTCCTGAACTACTTGCCCCTCTGTATGCAAATAGTGGGTATCTATTGCCTCCAGGAATGATGGTCATGGATCTCATGGATCTCATTTAGAAGTTTCTTCATTTTGAATATTGAGTTTTTCATATGATGTTCATCGATCGATCCCAAGTTTTTTCATTTTGAATTTTTATATGATGTTCATTGATCGATCCCAGTTTCTTTCATTTTGAATATTGAGTTTCTTATGCGATCTTCATCAATCAATCCCATCTCAATCTTTATCAATCGATGGATTCCTTTTCAATGTTGTTTTCAATTGATTTCATTTCATTGTGAAATCTCAAGTCCCGCTTTTTTATTGACTGATTGGATTTTGTTGAGATCTCAAGTTTCTCACTATTTCATTTTGATTAATTCAACTTCGATCCAGTCAAATATTGATCAAAATGATGCTACACTTGCATTAAGATCTTGATTGATCATCAGTACATAAAGAATGATAGAATAAAGAAAAAAAGTAGAAGAAAACAATACACTGTGTTTAAGAAGATTGATTGACCATCAGTACATAAAGAAGAGAAGACAAAAACAATACAATATGATAGAATAAAGAAAATAGAGAAAAATAAGACACTGTGTTGAAGAAGATCTTTGTTTGAGATAGAAAACAATACATGAGATTTGATACAAAGTAACAAAAGGAACCCGTTTGATTCAAATGAAGTCTTGAAGCGTCCTAAAATCCAAACAACTGAATAAAAGTTTCAAAAGATGATTAGCGAGTCTCCTCAAAATGAATCTATGACATTGAGATTACCTTTTTAATCCTGGTCAGCAAGATGCTCGTCAAACCTATCAACATTGTCGAGTAAGTCACTGATTATGCCAGCTGGAATACCATACCCTAACAGATCGCTTTTGGTGATTGAACCGTCGGTTTTGTGAAAGTTATGATAGTCTCGAATCCTATGGGGTTTGAAAAGGTCGAGGATTTCATTGACTTCAACTGGATCGTTAATTCCGACAAATTTGATGTAGTCTTCCATCGAAGCAGAACCTCTAGGTGGTCTCTGAATGACACTATGGGAAGGACCCGCCACACCTTGATTATAAGACGTTCGGATACGTTTTTTCTTGAGCGTGCCTTTCTTACTCTCTCGCAGGCCTCTCGGTGGACTGATCTGTGAAACACCGTGAGTTGTAGGGTTCAACTGAGAAGTTTAAGATTAAGATCAGTCATAAAAACCGTGTTATAACGATGATTGGTACGTACAATCTCTTTAGCCCATTTCTGAGCATTCCCCGGTGACATTAGCACATATCCATCATCATCGCCAGGAATCTCATATACACGGAAAAAACGATCCAAATCATGTCGTACAACACTTTGAGCTTGAAGATCCTTGGCTAAAAGATCAATTTCATGACTGTCTGAATCGGCCATATTCTGGATGTATAAAGAAAAGAATCAGATTGTATAAATTGTAGAAAAGTCGACTGGCCACCCACCCCGACATTATTTTGATCTCCAACAGACCATAAGCGGCGAGTTGAGGCTAACGAAGCATTCTTACAAGAGAGAAAGCAATCAGCTTGGAGCAGAAAAAGACCAAAAGGAAACTACTCACTCGCTTTTGAGAATCGACTTTCAACACAGGCTTATCCATCAGTAAATAAAGGCCACCTGTTTGAGATGATACCTTCAATACCTCATGTGCCCAGGCTTGAAACTGTTCCTCACAATGGACCTGATTTCCTCGGGTTTTTGACCAACCTCTTGTACCTGAGATTGTTGCAATCCATTTGATGCGCTTCTCATCTGAATTAAAGTCGGTCATAATCAGGTCCCCTAATTCATTGTCATTGCTATTACATTTCCGCTTGACAGTTGCTTGTAGATCGGGAAATGACATTTGATTCGGATTAATTTCTAACAAAATGTTACCCCTTTTGAGGATGTAGGGCCTCCATTTTGGATTCTTGCTGTCGCCATATTTGGTGTAGATGCTGATCTCAAAATCACACTCAAACGATTCACGCATGATTCCTGAGTTGAAGTGTTGCTGACGTGGCTGATTGGGAGTGTGATAGGTGGTTGATGGGATTGATGATGGGGGGATCGGGTAGCTGGGCAGAAGCTCTCTAGATCTTCGCTCAAGTAACATCAAAATTAAATCTCAGAGCTCAGAGCTACAAAAGTTGAAGCCCCGATCATGCACAGACCCTCATTAACGATCCAGCTCACAAATGGGTCCGACCGGCAGCAACTTTTTTTGCTTCGATTGGACAAGCATTTGTGAAGATGCAGTACAATGTATGTAAATACTTCATTCTACACAGACAGACACAGACGGGCGGAGAGAACTTTTGAAAAATAGTCTACAGGGGTAAAGCCAAGAGTAGATTGACGCAATCCGAGAGCCTCACAAAACCAGAGAGCGGCTGACTACAACATAACAAAGTCCCTATCATCTGTCAGACTTCGGAAGCCAGTTTTCCGAAATCTGAGAGATGAGTCTTTCCGAGTCCACTACCCATCCGACCGTCACTCATCCACCTATCCATCCTCTATCTTGAAAAGTTGAGAAAACCAAGGCTTTGTAAAACATTGAAAGGGTCCCTCAATCTGGCCGTGCTTTGGTCAAGTGTTGTAGCTTTGCGTGATCGAGAAAACCCTTCTGGGGATATTGGGTGTCGGGAGGGGATGATAGGACCCTGGAAAGCGCCTATGGAGGTTAGTGACCTAGATTCCTTGGACTAGGAGCGAGCTTCTAGAGAGGAGAATAGGTTACAAGTGCGTATCACGTGTCAGAGTTCCGACACACGATCCGTAAGCATTCGCGTCGCGAATGATCTGCACGCTGTGCTCTTTACCATCTCCGAAAAAAAGGTAAACGCTCTTTACCACTTTTTGAAGATGATCTCCCTTCTGAGTTTCCTTATATAACTGTGGACGTTTGAACTATTCTTCCCACATTTATATTCTCATATTCATCTTACAATTCTCCTTCCAAAAGCACTTCACGTTTTCTTCCGAGATCCTTTTTATCACTTGTACCTTTATTGATCTCGTTAGTCTTTACATTTAGTGATTTTTTGGTCTATAATTAAAAATATCGATCTTCTTATCTTAAAAAAAAAGAAAAAGTTATTCTAATCTATTATGTCGCATGACGTCCCTAATATCTTTAATCAAATCGATGCCATTCTTACCGACTACCAAGCTGCAGACGGCAGCAACAACCTCAGCATGGAGGATCTCCGCGACCTCTTTGCTGAGATCGTCCCCAGGGACGATCCGTTCTTTGTCTTTCATTTCTCCACCATGGCGCGTTTCGCCATTGGGCTCGATTTCTACGCAGGTCGTGCCTTTCATGGTACTGGAGAAGGAGACATTAACGACAACCGTAGCTTACCGGTTTTCATTCTACCGGCTAGCTCGGATCCACCCCCCCAAGTGCCCTGGCACTATGTTCCAAAAGATAGGCCCGCTCTCAGGAGTAAATCCTTATCCCATTCTCGCCTTGATTCAGAAGCTGCCGATGGCACCTTTCGCGAGCTTTACTCCGATTCCCCTGAGCCAGCACTTGCTGACACTACACGAAATATAATATTTTCTGGGCAGAAAATTAAATTATTGATACACAAAAATATTGAGAGGCCAGGAGAAGGGAAAAAAATAAATAAAAATATGCATCTTGTTCCCTGCGGTGAGAGCTTCACTCTCCATATTTTTCCATATTTTTACAGTCCGTATTGATAAGTGTACTAACAATAAACCTTCATAATCATCCAATTACAACCTGTAACAAGCACTGAAATTTGGCACATTAGTGTTTAGAGAAACTTTTGATTTCTGAAAACACCTATAACTTTGTCAAATCTGCCTCAAAACACTCGATTTTAAGTGCATTAGAAAGCTGAACTCTTCCTCCCGAACTTTCATAAGATCAAGAACTATGTAGCTAGTATGACAATCATTCTATGGATCTGTATGTACAAATGTATAAAAAAGATGATATCTTTTTTAGCAGACCAGCATGCTGTGTGGTCATATTATGAACTATTTGGAGGATAATTCCAGCTGACCAATGCACCCAAAATCGAGCGTTTTGGACCGGAATTGAAAAATTTATGAGTATTTTCAGAAATCAAAAGTTTCTCTAAACACTAATGAGCCAAATTTCAGTGCTTGTTACAGGTTGTAATTGGATGATTGTGAAGGTTTATTGTTAGTACACTTATCAACATGGACTGTAAAAATACGGAAAAATATGCAGAGTGAAGTTCTCAACGCAGGGAACAAGATGCATATTTTTATTCATTTTTTGCTCTCCTCCTGGCCTCTCAATATTCTTGTGTATCAATAATTTAATTTTCTGCCCAGAAAATATTATCTTTCTTGTAGTGTGACCCCATTCCCGTGTCCACAGGTCACTCAGGACTCCCTCCTCCCCCTGTGGTCCCAGGACTACCTCTATTCACCCCTTCCGGCTTGCATTCGCAACATCCTTCACGTGCGTCGCAACAGCGCAACCTTTCCCCTCGTCGATTGAGTTCTATCTCTCGACGGAGAGATCCCCTTCCTAGCCCAGTTCCTGGTCCGTCCAGGACTGCCCAGGAGAATGGCAAAGCTCCACCCCCCCGCTTTGAACCCTACCCTGCTCTGGCAATGGGATCTACTGGGAACCCCAGACTTGGAGCGCACCTTATCGGTAACCGTGGTCTCACTAGTGCCGGGACTCCCAATTTCAGAGCTCCTTCAGTTAGAAATTCCTCTCAAAATCCTCCTATCGTACAGGGTTCCTCTCATACGGCTGCAGAAAACCGTCTCCAGGACTCGGGTAACTTTTACCATTGTCCTCAACCTTCCCATCAGCACCAGGAAGTTCCTACAATATCAAAGTCTTTTAATCCAAATGCTACGATCAAATTCGACACGTCCGCCCCGGCGGCGTCTAGAATATATCCTTTCGATGTCGAACTTCCAGAAGTCGCTAATGCCGAATTTTCGACTACAGCTCTCAAAGTCAGAGAAATCGCCTTATTCTACCAATCTTGCATCAAAGACTCATGCGCTAATCACAACGGTTCTAAGAACAAACCAGTTGATTTCCCTCCAACGCTCGTTAGAACTTTACTGGAATATTCGTACATTGATCTGGCCCAACTCAATGCTGAACAAGCTGTTTGTGGTATTTCCAGGACTCAAAGAATTGACGACTCAGATTCTCACAAAAACTGGCAGTTTACTTCATGTCCTCAACAAACGCCTATCCCAGTCAATACTATTGCCTCCTTCCAGGACCTCATCAACACCATCAAATTGGCCTACATGGCTGTATTCTTTCCAGCAGTCGATTCCATTCAAGATTACTTTGACAATATCATTGAACTCACAAAATCTCGCAGAGCTAACATTGCTCTTCAAAACATTATGGACTACGACAAAGCCTGCCGCCTCGAATTCGCGTGTTGACCTTACATCACCTGGGGCGACTATAACGCTCGAGCGCTCAAAGGATTCAAAAATCAATACCTATATCGACAGGAGATGCCAAAAGCTCTTCCAAGAACTTCTGCTCCCTCGACCTCAATTTCCAAACGATCCAACAAACACCCTACACCCGCTCCTTCTACTTCCAAAGGACCAACTAAGAAAGCCTATAGGAAGAAAGTTATGGATAAAGTTCCTGAAGCTGATCAGATCTGTTTTCGTTGGAATCGTGGGAACTGTCCTCACAAGTCAGCTAAAGACTGCAACCGTCTGCATGACGTCTGCGATGCCTTTGGATGTGACGAAAATCATCGAGGAGGCAAACATCATTGATGATATCGGCTCTCAACGATATCTCCGTGATCTTGAATTGGATAATGCCATTTTTAACCATTGTTCTCCTTCTGTTGATTTCTCTTTACATTCCCCTCCGCTTCCAGACCCTCCAGCTCCCCAAGACGACCCTTTAGCCGATTTTGCCGTTAACAGACGTCCGGACCTTTTCTTCGTTAAAAATTCATTCAATCTACGTATGTTTCAAAAACTTCTTTCAACTCATCCCAATCAAAATCTCGTCAATTCCGCCTTGCGTGGACTTCAGTTTGGCTTCATGCCGCCGCTTTGCGGCGCTACTCCCGATTTTACCACCATACGTCCTAATCACAATCTTTCAGACGACGACATCTCGGTTGTTCGGAAATCCCGTGACAAAGAAATTAAGTTTGGCAGGTATTCTCATCCTTTTCATACCCCTATGCGTGGCATGCAAATCTCGCCTTTATTTATTGTTACTAACGAAAATTCTGGCAAGAAACGTCTTGTTACCGACATGAGTTATGGTAATAACTCTATGAACGACCTCATTGACTGCAATCGGGTCCATGTCGATCTAGACCGCATCTCTCACTTTGCGCCTTCAATGCTCAAATATTATCGAAAGAACAAACCTTTCCTGCTATGGAAATCAGACGTTGATTCCGCCTTTCAAAACCTATTTGTACATCCTTTTTGGCAGTTTCGGCAAATTGTTTGGATCGATAACCTCTTTCACGTAGACAGGTGTTTAAATTTTGGTTGCGCCAGTTCTCCGCGAATCTGGTGCACCTTTTTCTCTCTTGTTCTATGGATTGCTTTTGAACATTTCGGCATCGTTGATCTCAGCGCTTACATGGACGACTCATGGGGTCTTTGCTCCCCCAAATTAGTCGACTTCAAAGGCCACAAGATTCCTCTTAACCAAGAAAAATTTCTTTACATGTTCGACCAACTCTGTGTTCCCTGGGTTTGGGACAAACAAGTCTTTGGTTTTGAATTAGAAATCATCGGTCACTGGATTGATTGCAAAAAGATGACTATATCTCTCTGTGATGATAAACGTCTTGCACTCGTCAAAGCCCTTTGTGAGTTTATAATTCCTTACCAACGACCTCTCATCGAGTGGTGGAGGATTACTGGATGGTCCTCTTGGGCTTTAAACATCTTTCCACTTGGACGGTCCGCTCTCCAAGCTGCTTATTCGAAAACTTCCTCGAAAAGTTCTCGGCATTCCTTAGTTCCCAGGAACAACATCATTCGAGATGATTTCACTTGGCTTGCCAATCAACTCGAAGTCTGGGATGGCAGATATCTCTTAGATTCTCTGTATTGGAAACCAATCAGCTCCGATGCAACCTTCTTTTGCGATGCTCGTCCCGACGGCGCTGGTGTATGGAACGTGAAACTATGTCATGCACATACTCTTTCATTCCCTATGCCTTCAAGAGTGAATTTTTGGGCAGAGTTATTTGCTGTCGTCTCGGCCGTTGAGATAGCTGCTTCCCTTGGCAACAGGAAAGTTCTAATCTTTACTGATTCATCTAATGTCTCAGATTTATTCAGTTCTCATCGCCCTGCTACACTCGTCCATGATCTGTTTCGTCATGCCGTCGACATCATCCTTAAACATAAACTACTGGTCAAAGTTCGTCACCTTGAAGGACTTCGCAACGAAATCGCCGACCACCTTTCTCGCGGCCGGGTTCGTACTGTCAAGAGAGCTTTTCCCGACGCCCAATTCTTTACGCTCCCTTTCCATCCTCAATTCGAGAATCAAGGTATTATTCCGTTGAATGTCCACCATCACCGTTCCTTATGACTTTTCTTCTATAGACGCTCAAATCGTATCCGACATCACCGCCAAACGAAAAGATGTTACTATTAGGAAATATCGTTCTGCCTTTAGGAGCTTTGAAAAATTCTGTAGCGAACGCAACACTCTCATTATTCCTAACGAACTCACCCTTTTACGCTATTGCTCTGTTATGTGCCGCATTCTTCAACCAGATACTGTGGACGGCTATCTAACGGGCATAGTGTATTGCTGCCCTCAATATCCTTTTGCTAAACAAGCTCGAATGTCCGATAAAGTCAGGGGTCTTATCCTGGGTTGCAAGAAACGTCTCTCAAAACCAATCAAACGCGCTAATCCTATGACTATAGCTGACATTGATAGAGTCGTTCTCGCAGCCTCAGATTTGGATGACCTCCTCTTTGCCACCATCTTATCTTTCGCTTTTGCAGCTCTCCATCGCATCGGCGAACTCGTTCTTCCCGATTCCGTAGCTGCCCGGTACCCCTCTTGCTTTGTCAGACAATCTTCTCTATCTTTTTCGACTTGCTCCAGGTACATCAAGTACACTCTTCCTTACAACAAAACCGACCGTTTCAACCGCGGCTCTCTCATTTATATTCGAGCTCGCAAAAACTCTCCCTCGGATCCAGTGGAACTTGTCTCCCAATATCTTACTTGGCGTGACAATTTTCCTTTCGAACCCCTTCTGTTCATCCGTGCAAATGGCTCTTATCCTACTCGTAGCTGGTTTAATGCAAAAATGAAAATCCATTTCGATAATTCCAGGTCTGGCCATTCCCTACGTGCTGGCGGCGCTACAGCCTTATTTCAAGAAGGCCTTTCTCGTGAATCAATCAAAACCATTGGTCGCTGGTCCTCCTCTGCCTTCGAAACTTACATCCGAGAGCATCCTTTCCTCGCAATGCCTGCTATAGCCTTGCTCGACGTTCGTATGGGTACTCATATTGGGGCCTCCGTGGTGTTCAATTGACCCCGGCCTTCATGTTATAATTCTTAGCTCCAGACTTTTTATCCTTTACTCATACTCCATGTATGTTTTTAGGCCTTACTCTTGTAAGTCCGCTTACTCTTTATCTCAGGAGGTGATCTAGCCTAACAATCTTTATCTTTAGATTGTTTTGCTCTTCATTTTTATTCTCCTTTGAAAAAAAAAAAAAAAAAAAGCTCCCTAGCGGTCGATCACTTGTTGTTTTGTAAGTCTTCTTACCTTTCAACTCTTGATCCTATACTCATCTTGTCCTTCTCTTAGATCGACTTTTGATGACTATCCATCCTTATATGTCCTCCGTGGTCGATCGTCGTAATTTAGTAAGTCTTCTTACTAAACTACGTCTCGATCATGATACTTATCTTTGATTGTTCAGATTACTCAATGACTATCTTGTTCCCTGAAGTTCTCCTTCCGTCCTCCGTGGTCGATCATTCGCAAATTGGTAAGTCTTCTTACTTTTTTTCGCGCCTTAGCTAGATACTCATCCGATCTTCTTTAGATTGCATGATGACTATCTACTGTATTTCACGATTACCTTCTGAGGTCGACCTTCCTTTGTAGTAAGTCTTCTTACTCTTAGTTCTTTGGTCGGTCGTTTACCTATCCTTCTCTCCGCAGATTGCTGGTATTGACTTCTGTTGTACCTTCTTAGCTAAGACGTCTTTTTTGCGTTCTGATAGTAAGCCAGCTTACTCTTCTTTTTTTTGACTAAGAATCTGATTCACCTCTATGCTTTAGTTGGTGTCTCTTTCTTCTTTTTCGTTTTTCCAGTAAAAATTTAGTCATACATCACTTGGCATCTATTAAGCTTCCTCCATCAAACCTCTCTTTGAGTTACCCATCATGACTCTATAGTTAGCGGGTGGAAGCGGACCTTTCTGATGCTTTGAACCTCGCATATGTACTTAAGCTATTTCACATAGTCTCTTTCGTCCATCATGCAACTAGGGCTCCTGCCCCGATTCTGGCTAAACACTCCCTTCGTGGGTCTAGCTCGAATCACCTCTAGCACTCAAACCTATTCTTTGGACTAGGAGCGAGCTTCTAGAGAGGAGAATAGGTTACAAGTGCGTATCACGTGTCAGAGTTCCGACACACAATCCGTAAGCATTCGCGTCGCGAATGATCTGCACGCTGTGCTCTTTACCATCTCCAAAAAAAAGGTAAACGCTCTTTACCACTTTTTGAAGATGATCTCCCTTCTGAGTTTCCTTATATAACTGTGGACGTTTGAACTATTCTTCCCACATTTATATTCTCATATTCATCTTACAATTCTCCTTCCAAAAGCACTTCACGTTTTCTTCCGAGATCCTTTTTATCACTTGTACCTTTATTGATCTCGTTAGTCTTTACATTTAGTGATTTTTTGGTCCCACCCACCTCTCCCTTTGTATACGGTATTTTTTAGGCCGCCCCATAGCGGACCTTTCTGATGCTTTGAACCTCGCATATGTACTTAAGCTATTTCACATAGTCTCTTTCGTCCATCATGCAACTAGGGCTCCTGCCCCGATTCTGGCTAAACACTCCCTTCGTGGGTCTAGCTCGAATCACCTCTAGCACTCAAACCTATTCTGACCTTGGTATTAGAAGTTTTTTCAAAAAAAGTCGGATTCCGACCCTTTTCGTCACTAACCTACTTTTTCTCAATTTTTTTAAAAAAACCCGGCTGTGGTGGTCACAGAGGGTCTCAAGATGGTGTTTTGGGGCTCAACAATCGAAAGGAATCAATTTCTGAACACACAATGACAGAACAACACGATTTCAAAAAGGCTAGACATGGCTAGACAAGATCAGGAAAAAATAAGAAGCGCTAGAAAAGTATAATGAGTCTGATTTAGAGCTCGGGGAAATTTCAAAGCCCAAATTTCAAATGAGTGAGAGCCATCAGTCTTGGTCCTGTTCGGTTTGATTGGTTGTTGATGCTTTGAGCTGCTTTTCAAAAGCTCTGATAAAAGATGGGGTGTTGAATGACTGGACCAAACGGCTGAAAACAGCTGGTATCGAGTAAGATCCTCCATCCGGCGTGCGAGAGAATGATGAACCTCGAGATGGAGGGAATACATATAAAATATGAGTAGCTTCGATGTGAGCAAAGGTGCACTCGTCTGGAGACAGATGATCAGCGGGCGTGACAACTGGATACGATGGGTTGTAGTTGAAAAGTTGGACTGAGATATACGAGAGTTCGTCCCAAGATGTAGCGGTCTTAATCCAAGCGTGCCTCTTGTTTTTATACATATAGACACTCAAAGTCTTTCCAAGGTACAGTCTCTGATAAAGAGATTGGCTTATCAATATCTCGACTAAAGTGTTTGAACAGATGGGCGATATGGAGTACTCACATTATTTTTGATGATGACAACAAATTTGCCATGCTCGAGTGGGTTGTTTTTACTGATTCCCCCTCCAGTGATGATGGCATTAGTTGGTAAGTCCAGGCTACTTGTTGTATTTTGTACATGCTTAGATAAATCCAGCTTCACAGTGATATTCCATTGGTGGATTCGCGAAACACCAGTAGGTGTAACCTCTGTGCTTTTCATGACAACAGCGACTAACTTACTGCATTCGCTAGGATTCATTTTTCCACCTCTGGTGTTTCTTAACTGGTTGACATCACCTCTAGCACGCTCGTTACCTTGGTGTTTTTTGACTTGACTATCGTTGGTAGCTCGGATGTCAAGTAAACAGGTGTTGGCAAGATGAGCGCCGTGTTGATCATTGTAGACTAAAGCTTTTGTTGGTTGCTCATTGGCCTGAATTTCAACAGATTGTGATGGATGTTGCTCGTCACTAGATTGATTGACTGGGTTGAGGAGATTAAAAAGTGACATCACTGAATTAGCGAGTATCTCTTCCTCGACCTCCTCTGTGATATTGGACAGCATCACATTGGTCTTCTGTTGTTTGGAAACAAGTTGAGCGGCAGCCTGGATTGCAGATTCTTCTGGACATTCCCCAGGAGGGTGTCGATAGATAATATCGTAGTCTCTTGCTATACTAGAAGAGACATCTGATTGACATCAAGCTCAGTCAGTACAGGCATCTAGATGTTTGGTCAATGAAAGAATACGAATATGCACCATTACAGCTTGCCAAGTTTGAGTGTGGTTCTGAGTTGTCAACAAGTGGATTGTCGTGCATTCCAACAAAAGCAGCCAAACTTATGGCGTACTTTTGGGCTGCTTTAAGCTCAAATGTGATCTCTTCATCACTTGGGAAATCGAGAAGCAGATTGGTGTTATTTGGTGCTTTTTCGTCCAAAAACGCACACTTGTATCCTGTTCCGAGTCGTTGAATTAGTAATCTTTATGATCTACGTACATGTTGATACAAAAGTATAAAGAAGTACCTGAATGTATATGTTCTGATCCTTCAAAGTTTACCATACCACTTGCCAGACTCTTGACCACAGCGTGAATCTTTGGAATCATCTGTCGGGCATCAAGAACAGTGAAGTTGGGTGAAATTACTCGCATCCAACCAAATGTGTGCTCAAGTGGCTTGGTTCCGTGTTTCCAAGGCATCAAGGGAAATGAAGAATAAAATTGACGATGTGAAATTATGAGACCAATGAGGCGTAAGGCCAATGTAGAGAATATCTTGAAGCTTTGAGGTGATATTCCATTAGCTGAAACACTCATGAGGCTATTTGGTTGATTCTGTCGCCGAGTAAGATAGTTGTTCCAGATACGAATGAAAAAAGCAGCTGTCCAGGCGGATCAAATACGTGCACAATGTCCAATTTCTTGATTGAGCCATGCATCACACATCTCGCCAAAAACTAAGAGATATACAGCCAAGCCTGTACATTCCTCGTGTTTGAGAGCTGCTTCAAGTGTCTTGGCAGAGAATGTACAATATGCGCGTCCATCGTCTTGTCGGTCACAATCAAAAACATCACGTTTGTAGATCGGCGAGCTTGAATCTTGTAGGAGGGTCGCAAGTTGCTGGATATCAACAGAGTATCGCCCAAATGCAAGTACACGAGCTCCAGAGAGGAGTTGATTTGCCGCCGTCTTTCGTGCATGCTTTGGATCCTGAACCAATACAACAGGCCTTGAATTCTCACCCAATAAAGGTACCTTGACAAAGACATCAAGATCCTCATTAGAGTAAGTCAGGTACTGAGTAGTCGACTCGATGATTTGTTCTTGTGCCGCCAGCTCAGTCGGAGCGCCGTCAGATCCAAGTGAAAGAACATTGATTCCTGCTAATTGACATTCACAAAAAAAAGTATGATGTTGAGCAGCAACATCTGAAGCGTTCTCTTTGCTTCGACTAGCAATCACGGCAACTATAAATGTAGACATGTTGGGTAAAGGCACCTGTATAGTATATGCTCGGATCTAAATTTGATCAGAGGTTTCATTTCCATCAGTATCATGAGTACATCGCGAGTGTGTTTGAACACAAGAACTCACCTTTGAACAAAGGTTTCCAGAAGATACAGTTGACTTGACTATCTTCTCGAGATCGGTTCCATCAACAAAGCTGATATCGCCACCCTGAGCTCCTACTATGAAGCCGTTGTAGTGACGCAACGACTTCACGCATACTGTCTCATCGGTTGCTGCTGCCACAGGTCCTGTGTAATTAAGTTGCTCGAGGATTGCTGCAATGTGCTCAAAGTTTGAAGAGTGTAGACCATCTTGAAGATTCATACCAGAGAGTGATCAGATTTGACGCATGCTTTGAGCAGAACGACTGTAAGGGTACACATGTAGGCAGGAGGCTATGGGTTGGCTTTATGGGATTAGATGGGTTCTTGTTATACTTCTCTCCAACGCCCGGCTTTGGAAAGTCCTCACTCCTCTGAGAGCATCACCTTGGACTTTCTGGAGCTAGGTGAGATTTGTTGTGTTTTCTCTCTCTTTCTCTAGTTCTTTCTATCTTAGAGTGTTACTGACTCCTCTGAGAGCATCACCTCGGACTTTCTGGAGCTAGTTTGAAATCATAACGACGTTCCAAGTCCACCTGTGCTCTTGTGAGAAGTCGTGCCGGACAAGTTTCCGGACTTTCAGTGAAGGTTCTATTGGAACCTTACACTTTTTTTGACTTGATCACCTCGTTATATAATCAAGATTCAAGTTAAACAAAAACCTTAAACATCATTCAATTCAACTATCACATCTTTTTTTTCTCTTTCATTCTGTCACTCTGCACTATCTGCCTTTTGTCACTCGGATTACCAGCCTCGATTTTACTTCTGTCACCTGAACCTTACTCCAACGATCAGAATTCAGTCTCTGCCGCACCTCCGCTGCTTCGAACTAAACGAATGTTAGGCGGAAAATCACTAAAACCTGATAATTTTTGCGACGACCCGGAATCCTTAATCCGATTAGCTCGAAAAGGAAAGCAGCAAGACGAGTCAAGCTCACCACCACCTCCTGCTCCGCCAAGTTACCTGCGAAGACCTGAAGCCTCAGTGTCAGGATCACCAGCGCCAACGGATCGAATCCTGTACGCCTCTAGCCACAAGCTGAGCCCAGCTGTAATCTCGACTGCGCACTTTTCACCGCCAGAAATCTCTCCACCAGAAACGGAGAAGAAAGTGATAGACTTACACTTTCGGAAACTTTTGGGAGCGACACCACACCCACCAGGCCACTTCCCAACGGACACACCCGCACCACATTGATCCGAGGTATCTTTTGCTGAGCCAACACTGACCTGCAAAACCTCAAACACCATGCCTAACGAACAAGACACGGTGGAGTCGCTACGCGAACAAGTTGCAGAACTCAGGCTTCAGAACGAGTCCCTCACAAAGGCAAATCAAGAGACGCTTACCTTACAGCAACTAGTGCGAGAACTGTTAGCAGGCAAAATGGCAACTTCGGACATGAATTCCCCGGAGGCCGGGACGGTTACTGCTGGCGAAACCATACCGCCAATCTCGGCCGATAACCCTTATCGACGATACGTCGATGTCAGCCCTTTGACACCCACACCAGCACCTCGCGAACCACACAGGCAGCCACCAAGTAGGCAGCAAGAGCCTGGCGAAGCGCGTGACGGTCAACAGCCACAGGGGGGACCAGACCCTCGTGCGACTCAATCGGGTCATCAACCGCACCCGGAGACCCCTGGACCAACACCTCGAGCCGCTCAGCACATGACACCGGCCGAGCAATCGATGCAATCACCAGTTCATGTATCGTACGGTCAGGCTTACCAACTTCCTACATCAGAAGTAGCTAGAGACACGATGCCAGCATCTATGACAGCGGACCGAATCAAATTGAGCGACTTACCTAAATTTAGCGGCAAATTTGGAGTGCCAGCGGATCTCTTCCACTGGCAGGACATGATTGAGGAGACGTTTGAGGTAAAGAACTTATTGGACGACCGAGAACGCCTTAAGCTACTGGGTTTGTTACTCAACAACGAAGAAATGTCGAGCTGGTACCAGTCCAACAAATCGACCTTGAAGCAACAATCTTGGGAGGGTGCGATGAGAATGTTAGCAACAGGTACTCTGCCTCACTCTTGGCAATTGGACACCGAGGAAGCGCTGCGACGATTGGAGATGAGGTCCTCTGAGTCATTCGACACTTACGTGGCTCGAGCTCAAGCCTTACATCGCCTTGTGAAACTATTCGGTTAGGTATCAGAACGGCATCTAGCACAACATATCACCTGGGGAGCTCCCTTGTTGTTTCGAGATATGATGCAAAGAGAAAAGCACTTATTGGCGAACCCCTTTTTGTTTCCGGTTTTCAAGGATGCAGCAGACGGCATCTGGAAATTTTTATCGGATGCTAGATTATTACCGACTACAGTTGTAAAACCAAGACAACCCTCGGCACCACTGGCTACATACGCAGCAGCTACATCAACTTCAGTAAACCGAGCACCTCCTCGAGTCAGATCAGACGAGGAGCGAGCAGATCATGCATGGCGATACCATGAATACTTGCGTCGATCAGGAATCTGCGCTACCTGTAAGGAGAAGTGCAATAACCCCCATTGCACCAAGAAGAGCATGCGATTCCTCTCGGTTCCCTCGGACTTCAACCCCGGCCCAAGACCTGCACGAGCGCCTGCCAACACCAATCCAACAGCTGCACCTGGAACCCCTACAGGTCGACCAGCGGGAAGACCGAGTGCACCAGCGACGACAACTTGTGTGGCGGCAGTCGAATCCTTCCCTGAAATCTTAACTGAAGACTTAGCAGCTTATGAAGAAGCCGATCAATTCAAGGTCAGTCAAGTTGAGAATGGAGAAGTTCAAGACATGAGGTGCGTACCTTCATCGTCAGTGTCGCCAATCATACTGCAGCTGACGTGTAATGGAAAAACTGTCCGTGCCCTTATTGATTCAGGAGCTGGGACGAATCTGTTATCAGACCGCATGGCGCGTGAACTACATATACCTCGACGTCCTTTGGTCTCACCAGTGGAGGTACGCTTAGCCATCCCAACGGAAGGGGCCCCTCTGATTCTCAAAGACTTCGCCATAGCTAATTTAAAATGTGAACGACCTAGCCTGCGTTTCGGGGCGGTTTTCTTCAAATTGGCACCACTCGGCTCAAATTACGACATGATCCTTGGCTCCCCTTTCTTATCAAAGTTTCAATTAGATGTTTCCTTACACCATCGATGTATTGTACACACTTCCACCGGAAAAGTCCTTTATGAAAAAGAAATGCAGTCCGAACTGGATAGGTTGTTGTGTGTTATTGAAAACCTTGAGATGGTTGAGGATGCGCAAGCATTAAATAAGCGGGAGATGTCCGTGTTCAAAGACTTTGCAGACCTGTTCCCGGCGGAACTCCCCCCAGTTGAGGAAGGTGATCCGCCGGAAGAGTCCTTCCCAGAGGGACTACCGGACATTAATTGACAAGTACGACACAAGATCGTCCTCACAGACCCTGACGTAGTCATCAACGAGAAACAGTTTGGCTATCCCATTAAACATCTGGGGTTGTGGCGTAAGCTGTTAGATCAACATTTGGCTGCAGGCCGTCTACGCCGTTCCCATAGTCAATATGGCTCCCCATCTATGATCATTCCGAAAAAAGATCCATTGGAATTGCCTAGATGGGTGTGTGATTATCGTAAATTAAACAAGTTCACCGTTAAAGACCGCTCACCCTTGCCAAATGTAGACGAGGCTGTCCGGTTAGTAGCAAAGGGAAGGATTTGGTCTGTTGTTGATCAGACAAATTCATTTTTTCAAGACAGGATGCGTGAGGAAGATATACCACTCACTGCAGTGAAGACCCCTTGGGGGTTGTATGAATGGACTGTTATGCCAATGGGGCTAACAAATGGACCTGCAACTCACCAAGCAAGAAATGAAGAAGTATTAGGGGATTTAGTTGGAAAAATCTGCGTGGTATATATAGATGACATAGTTATCTTTTCAGACACAATTGAAGAGCATGAGCTTCATGTACGGCAAGTATTGGAGAAACTACGTGCTGCTAAACTTTACTGCTCGAGCAAGAAGAGTAAATTTTTCCGGCGGAAGATCAAATTCTTGGGGCATGAGATCAGTCAATCAGGTGTCTGTCCGGACGACGAAAAGGTGGAGAAGATATCCAAATGGTCCTCTCCAACAAATTCTAAACAATTGCTAAAATTCTTGGGCACGGTTCAATGGATGAAGAAATTTATTGATGGCCTTTCTCATTACGTAGGCACCTTAAGTCCATTAACCAGCACATCTTTAAAAGGCAAACCTTTCAAATGGGGGGATTTAGAAGAAAAGGCATTTAACAATATCAAGCGTCTCATTACAACTCTTCCTGTCTTAAGGAACCTAGATTACAAGTCAGGAGAACCTTTATGGCTATTCACTGATGCCAGCGGCAATGGACTAGGAGCAGCACTGTTTCAAGGAATGGAGTGGGACACGGCATCACCTATTGCTTATGAAAGTCAAACGATGAACCCGGCAGAGAAGAACTATCCGGTTCATGAACAAGAATTACTGGCGGTTATCAATGCCTTGAACAAGTGGAGACTCCTACTATTGGGAATGCGGGTAAATGTCATGTCTGACCACCACTCTTTAACTTCACTCCTTACGCAGCGAAACTTAAGCCGTAGACAGGCTAGGTGGTTGGAGACGCTCTCTCAATTTGATCTTGATTTTAGATACTTGAAAGGCGCGGACAACTCAGTTGCAGATGCCTTATCACGACGCGAAGATGTAGCTCTATGTGAAGTGCAGGCAACGCTCAGAGAAGAGGAATTTTGGGAAATTCAGGAAGGGTACAAGGTTGACAAATTCTGCATTCGACTTCTTAAGGTTTTACCTTTGCGTGAAGATTGTATTATGAAAGACAACCTGATGTATCTCGATGGCCGTCTAGTCATACCCCAATACGGGAAACTCCGACGAGATTTCATTGCTCAAGCGCACACCGCTTTAGGACACTTAGGACCTCTGAAGACCTTGTCACGTCTTTGAACTACTTTCTTTTGGCCTGGATTAGCGAGGGAAGTAGAGGCTCAGCTCAAATCGTGCAATCTGTGTCAGCGTAACAAGGCACGAACATCGGCGACGACTGGTAAACTTCAAAGCTCGGAGGTACCAAAGTATCCAATGGAGGCCATCGCGATCGATTTCATTGGTCCGTTCCCGAAGGTCAGTGGGTATGACATGATACTTTCATGTACGTGCAGATTGTCGGGCTTTATTCGGCTCATCCCAGCATCTCAACGCGACACAGCAGAACGCTCGGCGTCAAGACTTTACACAGCCTGGTCAAGCATCTTCGGTCTGCCGGAATCAATCATTGGAGACCGCGATAAGGCGTGGACTTCACGCTTTTGGCAAAAGCTTCATGAACTGCTAGGAGTTAAGGTAAACTTAACAACGTCTTATCACCCTCAAGCGGATGGGCGTAGTGAACGGTCTAACAAGACGGTGGGTCAGATACTTCGGAACCACACGTCGGAGAAACACGGAAAGTGGTTCCAGGCCTTGCCAGCGGCTGAATTTGCCATCAATTCAGCTATCAACGTCGCTACCGGGGTTTCGCCGTTTCACTTTGTATACGGGCGAGTACCACGTTTGTTCCCAATCCGGAGTCCGGTAGAAGAGGATGGTGACGATGTCAAGCATTGGATTGAGCGACGTCAAGCCGAATGGGCTTCTTGGCGTGACAAGTTATGGTGTAGTCGGGTTGAACAGGCCTTGCATTACAATAAACGTCGACGTTCAGGCAAGCCTTTTGAAGTCGGGGATTGGGTAATGGTTGATAGTGCTGACCGGCAACAAATTGTGGGAGGCAAATCGCGCGGCACGGGTAAACTTCGTGCACGCTACGATGGGCCTTACGAAGTCCTGGAAGTTGTGAACTCGGGAAGAGATTTTAGGCTTCAACTCAACCCACACGACCACACTCACCCGGTGTTTCATATCTCCAAGCTCAAGCTGTACCATGCTGAAGAAGAAGGTGTAGCGGATGGTGACATTGCGACCATTGGTATGGTCTCGCCACGACCGAAAAAAACCCCTGGATGGTCTCGAGAGGAGCCCATGGGGCATGTTAGGAATCGTGACGAGGGGGTGTGTATCAAGTTTGATACGCTAGCACCCCCGCAATGTGAGTCTTTTAATTCCTTTTCAACATTCATTATGAAGAACGTTGGCAAGCAGTTTTATCTCCCACATAATGATTTAGAATTCTGCGAGCGGCTATCATCGACGATTAACGGCGATAAACTGGCCACTTGCAGTCACGATAATGACTTTGTCGAACCGAAAACAACCTCACTCGGTCCCAATTGGGAGCCATTGAGGCATGCTAGGAAAATGACAAGGGGGTGTGCAATTAACTTGCGCTAGCACCCCCGCAAGTGAGTTTGATACATTTTTTTGATCACCATGTTTTACAAAAACGGTTTGCAAGCTTTGTTATCTCTTAATTAGCAGGTTGCGACTGAACAACAAGAAAGACAGATCTTCTTGACCCAACGACGGAATTTAAATAATGACTTCAAGACAAATTAGGACTCCTTAACAATTACCTCAAGACTTCAAGACTAAATTATGCATGCTTATGTTATAATGAATTTTCTTTTCTTCTTTTTTTCTCTTTCTCTCAGTTTCAATTTTCTCTCAAATTAGTTTTAGTTTTCTTAGGACGAGTCATGGTCACAATTTTTGGGGCGAGTTATGCCACTTGGTTGAGTTTTTTTTCTTTTCTTTTGTTGGTAGTGCGGAATTTTTTTAGAAGAGGGTACACATTAATTTTAGAAGGGGAGGGTGTAAGGGTACACATGTAGGCAGGAGGCTATGGGTTGGCTTTATGGGATTAGATGGGTTCTTGTTATACTTCTCTCCAACGCCCGGCTTTGGAAAGTCCTCACTCCTCTGAGAGCATCACCTCGGACTTTCTGGAGCTAGGTGAGATTTGTTGTGTTTTCTCTCTCTTTCTCTAGTTCTTTCTATCTTAGAGTGTTACTGACTCCTCTGAGAGCATCACCTCGGACTTTCTGGAGCTAGTTTGAAATCATAACGACGTTCCAAGTCCACCTGTGCTCTCGTGAGAAGTCGTGCCGGACAAGTTTCCGGACTTTCAGTGAAGGTTCTATTGGAACCTTACAACGACCGGCAAAGTTGTCGTTGAAAAACTTGAGGGAACGGGAGCTGATAGAACCCAATGTGGTTAGGAAGTTGTCCAGATAGACATCAATCCGCCTTCCTTGCAAGCTTTTTCCTTTTGACTCTCTCTCGGCTCGCACACCTACTGCCATCATCAAACCTCGAACTACATCCTTATCTTTAAATAGGCCAGCCTTTCCGTAAGTTCCAATTGCAGTCCAGAATTCATGGTCCCCTTCAGCAGTAGCTTTCTCAAGAGATTTCTGGAGGATTTGGAGCTCTGTAAACTTTATTAGGACGGCTTGAAATTGGTCACCGGTCATCAACACTTTTGGTATGTACTTAATCGTCTCATCTGTAGCGTAAAGAGTATTGATGGCTGTGATGAGGCTTCTAACATTCTTCAATTCCTCACACTTATTGCAGATCGGATGCAAAGTAGTAGCACGACATTCCACCTTGTTAGTACACTGAGACGAGTGGATAGATGCCTGCTCGCCATGTCGCCAAATCTTCCAAACAGCATTTGCTTCAAGAGTGTTGTGTAGTTGTTTCTTCTGATTGACCAAAAGTTCAATCTCGTGAGTTGTACCAAAAAGCTCTCGACATATAACCCAGCGTTTAGCCCCGTGGTATGGCATAGGTGAATGTTCAATACAATTCGCAATAGTATACTTAGATCGTGGTCGCTCCCAAGACTCGTCAGTTAATCCAGAGCCACTGCCAGCATTAAATAGGTTCCCTGGTCGGAACATGACCTAGGCTGGGAATATCATTGAGAGAAGAATGGAGCATCAAATCATCTCGCACTGCACATCTGAGCCATAAAGCATACACTACATATGTGCAAACATCTGAGTAAATCCTTAGCTATCAGCTACATACAGGTCCGCTCAGTTATCTGCTCATCTAGATAAGGAAATCATGTGTAATACATGCTGTAACTTTGTTCAGATTGAGACACACATTTCAAAATATTGACTACATATATCACAATGGCTACTCAGGCAATATTCATGGAACTGTGTAACAGTAGCAGAATGGGAATCTGATCACTAGGACCCATATTCCCATCTGGGAACCTCTTTAATGCTGGCAGTGAGCATGGCTTCTCGATCGTCTTTTTGACCTTTGTGACAGTGACCCAGGACGAGAGGACCTTGTTCTCCTCCATCCTCTCAGTGTGATTTTTACAAGCTCCTGGAAGACAAACCAAATGTAGATATTTAGATACCTTTTATGAAATTTCATCATTGATTGGACGTACGGCTTTTCCAATGATCCACAGCAGCTTCTACACGTCCCTTTGGAAGTTTGATCTTACTTCCACAATGACAGTGTAGAGTTTTTGGACCTATCACGTCTTCCACATGAATCTTACAGCAAGAACACTCTTCATTGGCCTTTGATCGGGGACATAAAAGTATTGGATTCCTTTGACGAGTTGTTTCAGTCTGTCGCTTCTTATTTGCTGGTATGGTGGTGGTGCTGGTCTGCTTTGGTGGTTTGGAAGTGCTGGTGTTGCTGGTGGAAACTTCTTCCACAAAGATAACATCGTCCCCTTTGAAATTTTTGTCCTCCTCCGGATCACTGTCAATAACAAAGACATCTACTATATCATTCGAAGTTCCTTGGTTTCTTTTAGGCATTTTGTAAGAGTTCTTCAGGGCTTTCACAGTGCAAAAAAATGTTTCCTGAATCTTTTCACAAGACTGGTTTGAAACTGTTTGAATACTAGCTATGTATTCAGATAGATTCAGATTGAAAGGGATCAAAACTGATGATAGTCTAGTACACAAATTTCAAATTGGGTGCGCTTCAATAGGCTCAATTAATAGCTTCTTTCTGTCATTGTATGACATCTCCTCTGACGCTTTGGTACATTTTTCTAAACCTTTTGCATGTTTTTCTTACGCTTTACGTAAAGATCCTATGCAAATTTGTTGACTAGGGATCACGATTCCGACCTTTTACGTCACTGAAGTTTTTGCGAAAAACATCATTTCCGACCTTTTTCGTCACTAACCTAGGCCTAATTTTTGTCAAAATTCCGACCTTTTTCGTCACCCACCTCCACAGGCGCTTTCCACGGTCCTGGGATGATTGATGCGTGATTGATATGAATCCAGATGAAAGGTCGGACGGTTTGTTCTGTTTGGTGCCTATTTGGATTTATGCTTGGCCAACGGAAATGGTTGGTCAAAGTCGAAATTTAGTGGGTGAGTAAACCATGCAGGCCTGTATTTTGCTATTTGGTAGGGCACCGTCCGGTGCTGGTGCTCTAACCAAAGCAAGATGAAGATGCTTGACATTTTTTGACGAACATGGTCAAGCATAGGCCGTGATGACCACAGGACGAGCACGGAGGAAGGAGGACACACAGGAGATGAAGCTGAAGAAGACCATGCCTCCGCAGAAGCAGACAACACAGATAAATATATAATCTGTTTGCAAATACATTTGCACCCATCATCAACCTCTTTCCAATATCTGCCATCAACAAAGTCCACAAGTACAACCTCACAGCAATAAACCCCACATCATCTTTTCCACGGCGCAGAGACAGGATTGATGTGTAAATCTAAGGCCCCGTTTGGTTGCGATTATTTTACTGTGGTATTATCCTGTTGAAGGACGACTTTATCACTTTCAAAACCGGAGACCAATTTAAGATCACCCAACACGGAAACTGTGCATTTAAAGGAGATTTAAACAATGATGTTCACTTACTTAAATCGGCGGTGAGGCACTTTTATCCCGAATCCATCAGTCCTCAGTCCAGCCACATCACGCCTACCGATCAAGCTGATGCTGTTTATTTACACCGGCGCTTAGGTCACCCCAACATTTCATATATGAAATCAATGGTCAGGAATGTGAGTGTGAAAGGGTTAAACATCAGTCTCTCTAGTATTCCCGATAAGATTCATTGTGATCCTTGTGATTTGTTGAAAGGACACAAGATCCCTCATAACAAAACTCATGTTAGAAGTCAAAATCTCTTGGATAATGTTCACCTTGATTCAAGTGGTATTATCCGAACCAGTGCTGTGTGTGGGAGTCACTACTTTATGTTGTTCACCGACAATCATTCAAGATATCACCATGTTGTTGGCCTTTCTACAAAATCTGCTGATGTTGTGTTTCATAAAATCAAACAATACGTATCCCTGGTTGAGAGGCAATGCGATCGGAAGCTAAAGATGATCACTTTGGATAACGGTTATGAGTTTATCAATGATACAATGGTCCCATTCTGTAAAGATGCCGGTATTTATTTAAGAACCACTGCAACTTACACTCCGGAGGAGAATGGAGTTGCTGAAAGGTCAAACAGAACAGTAACTGAGCCTGCTTGTGCAATGATGATTCAAGCAAATCTGCCTATCAGGTTCTGGTTATATGCTATTAAGTCTGCAGTGTATCTGAAGAATTGAACTGTATCCTCATCTATACCTGTTGGAAAGACTCCATTTGAATTATGGAATGGTTGACAGCCGGACATCAGCCATGTGAAGCCAATTGGTTGCTTGTGTTATGTCCTAACTTGAAAGGCACTTAGTCACGGAAAATTTGATCAAGTCTCAAAGCAAGCAGTCCTGTTGGGTCACACCGATCACAATCTAAATTATGAAGTCTTTGTCTTTGACTCGAATAGCATTGTTGTCTTGCACAATGTGATATTTTGAGATGAGAAATTTCCCTTTAAGAAGATAAAATCTTATGATATCTCCCACTTATCCTTTGAAGATGATGCTCGAGAAATATCGGATCCTTCCGCTATCGAACCTAACCATGGAAATCGTAGCGACAACAATGAAGAACCTGGTGGTGAAGGAATGCACCAGGCTGACCTTAATAACGTAATTTTCCCTGCTTTTGATCAACTTCTTATTGAACCTCAGACTGAAGACCCGCCGACTGACGAACAACCGGAGGAAGAGCCTGTCATTGAGCCCGTCATAGAAGAGGAACCTGTTAATGACGGACCTTGACGGTCGGAACGTGAAAGGCAACCCACTGAGCGCTATCAACCTTCAGCAAATTATGCGTACTGGGATGATGAGGGGGCATTTAAAATTTTTCATGAGTATGGTTACTATGCTTTTGCAGCTGGACCTGTGGTTCGATTGATAAATGAGCCTCATAATTTCAAGTCCGCGATGAAAAGCTCAGATATTGATGAATGGAAGAAGGCATGTGAGAAAGAATTAGAGAACATGAAAGAGAAGAAGGTGTGGCGTTTAGTTCCACGGCCAAAGGATCATCCTGTGATTGGTAGTAAATGGCATTTCAAAATCAAGCTTAACTCTGACGGCTCCATTAGTAAATATAAAGCGCGTATTGTGGCAAAAGGCTATACGCAGACTTATGGAGTTGACTACAATCAAACGTTTGCGCCGACTGGGAAACCGGCTTCTTTTCGAGCTGTGGTGGCTTTTGCATCTTATCATGGTTTTGAAATCCACTCGATGGATGCCGTGGCGGCATTTCTTAATAGCAAATTGAAAGAGGAGATCTATATGGATCAGCCAGAAGGATATGAAGTCATGACCTCAGATTTAGTGTGTGAACTGCTGCAAGCATTATATGGATTGAAGCAGTCTGCGCAAGAATGGAATGATGATTTTAAGGAAAAGTGTATCAAGGCCGGTTTCAAGCAGTCTGAGGCAGACGAATGTGTTTATATCAGGCGACGGAATAATGATATCATTGTGTTCTATCTTCATGTCAACGACTTAGCGATCACTGGAAATGTGATCAATGAATTCAAACAAGAAATCACTAGTTTCTGGAAGATGGAGGATTTGGGTATTTCAACCTGTGTCGTGGGTATCCAGATTGTTAGGAAGAGCAAACATCATTATATTATTGGTCAAGAGGCAATGTCAAGATCCTTATTAGAGCGTTTTGGGATGATGGATTGTAAACCGGCTTCTACTCCATTTCCGGGCGGATTGAAGTTGACTAAGGCTACTGACGACGAAGTGAAGTCTTTTGCACTATTAAATTATCCCTGTCACAGCGGGGTGGGGAGCTTGATGTACTTGTCACAGTGTACTCGTCCAGACATATCCTATGTTGTTGGATGTTTGTCTCAACACCTTCAACGTCCAGCTTTACGTCACTGGGAAGCTTTCAAGCATGTGCTTCGATATTTGCGGGGTACTTTAAATTATTGCATTCACTATAACAATGTTTCATCCACCGACGTCATCAGTAACAATGCATATGCGTTGCCAGAACATTTTGCTGACGCCGATTGGGCGGGTGATAAAAGCACTAGGCGGTCAACAACTGGCTATATTTTTCTCTTAGGTGGCGGAGCAATCAGTTGGCGTAGTAGGTTGCAGCAGACCGTCGCGAAGTCGTCAACTGAGGCAGAATACCAGGCAGCAAATGAGGCGGCGGATGAGATGATTTGGTTGGCAATTTTTTTGAAATCCATTGGTTTTCCCCAGGAGATGCCATATATTTCAAACTGTGATAGTCTAAGTGCTATGGATTTAGCTGAGAATGCGGTATTACACAGACGGACTAAAGCTATTGAGATACATCTTCATTGGATCAGGGATAAGGTTAAGGATGGTACTCTGAAACTGGTGCATTGTAATTCGGACGATATGATAGCGGATATATTAACAAAGCCCTTACATCCAGGCCCGTTTAACCACTTTAGGACATTGATAGGTATGAGAGGGGTGGATGAGTAGGTGTATTCCAATTGTGTCGATTGAAGGGGGGTGTTGAAATGTCCAATCGACCAAATCAAATTATAGTTAAGTTAACATTGATGAGAAGGGAGAGTTACGAAGTTTATAAATCAAATTGAAAAAAGATTCACTCACATGCCAGGATGATAATCAAGAAGTAATGTAATCGAAGCTATGTTGTATCAATTGAATATGTCAATCGGTAGGAAGTAATGCAGCCGAGGTCACGTTGAAATGTTTGACTTATGACGGATTCAAACTTATGGTTCAAAGAAATTGTTTTCCTTATAAAGAATTGTAGAGTGTTTTTGTTTGTTCTTTCTTCCCCCATCTTTGGGAAGAAGAACGTACGTACCCTGAATTTTTGTATCATATCATGTTTCATGGCTATTAACTTGTTCTCTTTCTATTTTCCTTATTTTTTTTCTTGAACGTGATGTTAGCACTACTTGCTTTCCGCATAAGATTCTATCTATAAGATAGATTATTGACATATCCTTACCTTATATATAGGTACAACTTCTAGTCTATGTTTTTTTCTCTTTCTTGTATTGATTTGGCTATTGTTGTGCGTTTTTCAGGTCAGAGTCGGAGGTTTTTCTTTATCAGCGTTGTAGTCTCAGTCACACGCTTATTGTGCTATTGCACACGCATCATCAGGTGAATAAATTAACTATCTTTGGGAAGAAGAACCACTACTTGCTTTCCGCATAAGATCCTATCTATAAGATAGATTATTGACATATCCTTACCTTATATATAGGTCAGAGTCGGAGGTTTTTCTTTATCAGCGTTGTAGTCTCAGTCACACGCTTATCGTGCTATTGCACACGCATCATCAGGTACCTCATACGTGATTCCAAGGCAACTCAAACATTCTTAATAACTTGTAGGTTTGACTCTTAAGCATATCAGACAGGGCTCATGGATTTGATTTTCTAGTTCTCTTGCAGCAAAAGCTGACAGCTTCCTCAAGGAACAGTATGAAAGATGTTTATATTACTTCTCCTCTCAAAAACAAATCACACTAAGAAAGCTTTATGGGTAGTTGTGCTCATGATAGCGGTGAACCTTTGCACAAATTTGGTGAGATATCATCTTTTCTGGGCCAGAGGCATCCTCAAATAGAATCTCATAATTAGGATATGGGTCAGAATAGTGAATGACAAGAGGTATTCCTCGTTTTACCTCACGTCTGGCCCTTCGAATATCCTATGACAAGCTCTCATGAAGGCGCAAGTGACATACTTTTGACTCCCAGCGTGGGAGAAAAAGAGCCTCATTTCAGACCAAACACTCAAGGGATCCTCAGCTTCACCTCACCTCTGCTCAATGCTGATCAGACGCGTCGTATCTATGATAAGTGGTGTATCACGCTGAGTTGAGTCTCAAGTTTTCCGAATATTGCGCAGTCCAAAACCTGTATTGTTAAAATTTGAGTGTTTTAACTGTTGACTGCTGAGTCAAACCCATCCATTTTTCGAACTCCTGTTCTGCTATTTCTCTCGATTCTCCTTCAATCAATCTTACAATCAATAAAATGTTAATATCTCTTTCAAATCAAACTCAAACAAACAATTGCAACTCATAATCGAAAACGCGATACAAACGATGTCAATACCATTTGTGAGCATTCGATCATCAATCAAACGCTATTGGTTTAAAAACTCGGATTGACGTGAATTTATCCTTGATTTGTTTTTAGGACATTGCAGCATTATCTGCTCAAGTTTTGAATTCTTTATCAGATGAATCTGACATCGAGGATGAGATCAATAGCTCAAATAAAATCTCAGGAGATATTGAACTTGACGCTTCATGGACATCACAAATCAATGCTGCTATAGAACAACTCGATACCGAGACAAATCCTCAAGGGTGGGGTGATACCCTCGACCTCGATTTACCCTCTTGGGATCCTCTTACCAACTTCGGTCATGATGACCTTCTCCCTGATTTGGGCCCTGGATCAGTCCAAGAAGCGGTCCCCCACATCGGTTTTACGGAAGATCAACACAACGAACTGATGCTCGCATTAACCAACTCACTTGGCCCCATATCAACTGATCAACAGTTGTATGCCTGCCCCACACCTACCATCAATGAACCTCCACAAACTGAAGCCACTCCCGCCGATCCTTTCGATGAAGTTGATCAGATGCTTGATCGCTTATTCAATTCAGGTGGACAAAGTCCCTCTCAAGCGCCCCTCTCAGCTCCTAGTCCAACCTTCGACACGTCTGCGGCTTCCAATGCAATCGCTATCGATCCCTCTCTAGAGCCGTTCGCACCCTCACCACCTACTACGCTTTCTACCCCGCAATCACCACAACCGGTACTGAGAAAAGACGCATCGACTTCGCAAGCCATATTAACACCTGATACACGCATTACCACACCCAGGCCTCGCCCTCGAGAATCTCAAACCTCCGCGGTCCATCGACCTACGCCTTCCCTCACTACTTCATCCCTTGAACATCTCGCAAATCCACCACCAGGTCAACAACCTAATTATCCTTGGTGGACAATCATTCGAGCTGCAATTATGGGAAGTCGTTATGGAATGATGACACGCGAACAAATCTGTGAGGCTTTGGCCAATCGATGGGAATACTTTAGGTCAACAGATGATCATGAAACTCGTGTTTGGAAATCTGCTGTAGGACACAATCTCAGTGTGAAAGAATGTTTTGTGAGAGTTTATGTGGAAGGTGAAGGAAACACAAGTTATTATATCATTGACACAGCAGTAGATCCGGCCAAAGGTCGTTTGTCCAAGTTGCGTTGAAACATCTTTTAGTCTTCGAAATCACTCTCACTATGTTTTGTGTTTTGTCTTTTCGTCTTGGTGTCAAATGTCACACAGTATCAAATCTGACGCTGACAACTTCCTATCTGTTTTTGGCTTTTAGAGGTAAAAACCCAGATCGAGCTACGGTCCCAAGAATTGCTCGAAGGCCCGTGCTCCCGAATAATCTGGATCTCTCTACCCAGGCTCGATGGTCTCCTGCGATCGCCGCGATTCGTAATGCTAAGTATGGCTTTCCTGAAGTCCGTTCAAATCCTTCCAAGGCGAAACAGCCCATCGAGTCGGACTCAGATGAAGATGACGAAGATGACGACGAGTCGGATTCAGGTGACTCGACCGAGCCAGAAACCGCACCGCGGCCTCTTCCTGGATCCTTATTAGGCTCTTCACTCAGCGCAATTGTGGGGGCAAGTCGATCTATGTTTACCAAGGAACCTACTCGAAATTCCAACTCAAGCAACAGATCAAATCAACCCACTGTCCCTGCCCGTCAGAATAGGCCCCCACTTCGGACAGAACCCAAGCGAGCTCAACAAACGTCTCGTAACTCTCAATCCAAGACTAATCCTCGATCTAGGACCACTAGACGCCGTCCCCCAAAACGACCTTCTATTGTCACTCGCACTCCGAACCCTGTCACTACTCAAGTCGCATCACTTCCGGTCATACCCGAATCTCATCATCATTCTCCAGCAGAAATCCCGGTCATACCTCTCTCACCTCAATCACCCGTTGCGCTAAGTTTAGAGGAGCAAGTTGCAGCAGCTTTGGCAGATGTGACATCGCACTTGCCTCCTGATCCAGTGGATGAAATCTTTGAGTCGAACCGACTAGCACAACAAGATATCCCACCAACCCCATCTCCAGTTGAGCTCAGTTTGCAACAGCAAGTTGAAGCAGCTTTGGCAGATGTAACTGCAAGTCTGCCATTACAATTGGAGTCGGATGCAATCGATGAAAGGGGAGCGCTACAGCACACAGATCGAGGTGATGACCCACCTTCATCAATTGAACCTGACCTTCCATTATTCGATTTTGAGAACTTGATGGAAAAAGTGCAGGCTGAAGTCGGCAAGGACACAGATGAAGAAGAGTCAGATCCAATTCCGGATGACGTTGATGATGATCTACCTCCTGAGCCATTATTCGATTTCAGTAATTTAATGCAAGAGGTCCAAGCTGGAATCGGAAAAGATATGGCAACTGAAGACGATAGCGACGACGAGGAAAGACTGGAAGATTCTTCGCATCATGATGAACCTAATGTCAACTTAGACTTGATGCTTGCTGATGCACATACTGAGATGCGATTACATTCCGAACCTGCTCTCAGTCCAATGAATTTGGACCCGATTGAACCAATAGAAAGGGTTGATCCCACAGAGGAGGTAGAAGTTCATGAAAAATCCCAATCAAGGAAATCACATGCCGACAAGACCCGCTCAGCTGATCGAGCTGCTCTCGATAATCTTTTGGACACATTAATCAATCAAGCCGCTGTCTCTGAAGACTGCATCGCTGCCTCTCCTCCTGCCCTCATTGATATCGATTCGTCGGACAAATCAAATGCTGGCAAGAAACGATCAGCTGATCGAGCTGCTCTCGATAATCTTTTGGACACATTAATCAATCAAGCCGCTATCTCTGAAGACTGCGTCGCTCCCTCTCCTCCTGCACTCAATGATCTCGATTCATACTCAGATTTGGATGAAGCTGAACCCTCATCAGCCGTCCAACATCTTGATAATGCTATCGCGGAAGCCTTAGCAGCTGCAGAGGCACAAGCACAGGAGACGTTCTTGAAAGAATTAGAGGAACGCGAGAAAGCTCGAATGAGGGCCTTATCTGATCAAGTCACTTCGAGTCTAATCGGGGTAGTTCAACTCACAGCTTCGGGAGATATTCCGGTCCACCCCCTTCCTCTCCCTCCTGCCCCACCCGCTTCGCCTGTTCAGCCAGCACCCAGGCCGTCGCCCGTTGTACGTGTCAACCATATTCGAGCCCGACCCACTCTCCCCAGTCGACGTGCCATGTTACCTCCATCACGTCCGGTGATACGAACATCAGTCGGGATCCGACCCAAATCCACAAATATACCAACTTATCAACCTGTAGATCGTCGTACTCGTGCTGCTGGAACTCGAGCACCGGGTCGAAAACTTAATTTACCATTACCCAGTGCTCATACACCAGTCACGGTAGATGATCGAATTGATGAAACAGCACTGGCACCTAGTTTGTTGGAATCCATCCAAGTCGTCACATTAGAAAGACCAAGAAATACGTTTCCAGAAATCGCTAAAGAAGCTATCTTATCCCATCCTGGTGGCAAGATGACAGCAGCTGAAATCTTCAAAGTAGTAGAGAAAAAATATCCGTGAGTGAAGGTAAAGAGTTGATATTGTTTTTGGTCTATGATATTGACGTCTTTTTGTCTGCTTGTTTGTTCGTTCAGATACTTTGTTACTGCACCTGAATCTTGGAAAGCAACAATGAGGAATGTTTTAACATCACATTCATGTTTTGTAAAAATTCCTAGACCGGCAGATGCACCTGGTAGAGGGGATTGGTGGTCAACAGTAGATTTACCACTTTGTAAGATTATTTCCTTGACTCCTGTATTTTCTCAAACCAAACCTGACCCTTGGAAATCTGATTAGGGAAACGACGAAGGACAACAGCTAAAGCTAAACAGGATGAAGATTTCTTGGGTAGACATGCTAGAGAACAATTAAGGAAAGGTAGAGTGAAGATCACTAGTACGAATAATAGTCATCATAATAATGGAGTTAGATCTGTAGAAATTAGTTTACCTAGACCATTTAATCTTGGAATATCATGACTTTTATCAATAACAAGGAGATTGTGGTTTAAGATATTCTTTGGTTGGAGAAAAGAGTTTTTGAAAAAAAAATACTTGATTTTGATCATTTTATGACTTGTTTGCTTCCAAGGACAAATACTTTTTTTTAATTATTGTTGTCTTTAGATAGAGCATGATTTGGAGGTGCTGGAATATTAATGCATGAGGTCAATTAACTTGGAGCTTAACTAAGCTCATATCACAATAGTGTGACAAGGTGCCCTTGAGGGCCAGGCCTTGGGACTATGTAAATAATCATTTTCGGTCTGAGATTTCCCAGAACTTGCTTGCCAAGGGGGACTTAGTTGAACTCGGCCAAGGGGCCAAGTCTTCCCCTTTTGTACCTTTTTACTGTGTTTCAGTTCTGGACAAACAAAGGCTACCTTATATCATAACTTTTCTTTTGGCCAGGAAACCTCAGATGTCTTTTCTCTGAAGGAAATTGAATTTTAAGAAGCTTGTGACCATATATCCACTCCTCAGATTTGTTTTGAAGCTCAATTCTTTGATAGATGATAACAAAAGTTCAAATATGTGACAGCCTGAAGCTTGACTTGGCAACTGGTGGCATAAACAAGAGCAAAGAATCTGCCGGAACACAAGGACCCAAAGGGGTGGCACACTACAGCTAACAAATATAAAATGAAATAATGATGATATAAATCCACTAAATTGTGTTTGAGAGGGATGGTGCCAGTGGGAAGGTCAATGTAAGGTGTCACACTTACAATCACACATGTAACAAGTCACACAATACAGTAGATCCATTAGGAGTTAGACTAGAGGCTGAGCTGTTTTCCTTTCCTTTTCCTTTTCTTCTTTATTGCTTTCTTCACATGGTCTCATTGAACTAGGCCTAGTTTTTGTAATCCACATTGGTTCTAGATAGTTCTGATGCCTAATTGTGCCCAACCAGTGTTGTTCCTGCATAGGAACTTCCAATCAACAGATATCATAAGTGTAAGAAATGATACTATAACTGCTTTGTTGGCAATACACTGAATGAGATATTCAATAAGTTGAAAAAAGCCTGTGTCATGCAAAACTTCTTGCTGTATGTCCATCATCTTGAAAGATGATCTGTTGTGAAAAGTCATCTATAGCTGAATGTCTATGATCTAGAGATGAACTCATGACTAAGCTGGCCCCAAATCATATTTCTCAATAATCAGTACTAATCCAGAACCAATTCACAACATTAAACCACATACAAGCTCATATAAGCCAACCAACCATGATATATATATTTCACTTGATTTAATGCAGATTAAGATGTGTATAGGATATGGCAAAAAGAGAAGATACAAGATTTATGTGCAAGCAGGTTTATACATATAAGTGAAATCTGAAGGTGAGAAATATGAAGTTTGCAATGGAGTACAAATTCAATGAAACTGAGGATGGGCTCAAAATTACAGTTTATGGTCATGATTTAAACATTTCAGTAGCTGATCATAAGGACCAAGTGCACTTGGCCCAGTTTTTTGCACATTGTTAGCAGGTTTTTCACTTCTAGAGTGGTTTTTGGATTGGGGATCAGCAGGAAAGTTTGATTAGAGAGCAAGTGCCATGTTACAGAATGTCCCTTGCTAACCTATCTACTAGAGAATAGGCAGGCACACCCACTGCCAAGGCTGAAAGTGCAAGCTGTGCATAAATATTAAGTTATAAGCCTCTCTCTTCAATGTCAGGCTTCAGCCTTACAGTACATATAAATTGACAATGGAGCACAATATAGCTTAGGGTCAGCTAAGTTTAAAACTTGCCATCAAAGTAGAAAGGTGTAAGACACTGGGCCATCTAGCAATTAATTATATAACTTATTTAACAAGCAATCAACCTTGCAAGGCAAAACTGAAAACACTTGTACAAATGGGATACAGAACTCAGACTGATATGGGAATTATGAGTCCTAAGGGTAAAGAGGTGTAAATAATATACTCTACATTTACACCAAGGCAGCTATACTTGTATATAGCTCAAAATTTACATGTTAATGTTCAATCAACGTAAGGAGATAATTTAGTAAAAGACATAAGTAAAACATAACAAGCCTTAAGGGTTAAAGAAGAAAGAATCACTTAAATGAAGGATAGACAAGAATGATGTCATAAGTTTCATTTAAACCCAATTAGTCAAATCCCTTTTCCTTATAATCTTTTGAGCTCTCTGATGTAGTTCTCTTTTCCCATCTCTGGAAAAGAGAACGTACGTATTTCATAAACTTGTTTCCCTCTGAATAGAATCATTATCTGATATGAGTTTGTTAGTCACATCTTTGACATAGATCACAGCTCACACTATCAACATGTGCTAAATCTTATTATCCTAACCTTTAACAGATGCTTTAATAGTTCTTCTCTATTATCATTTCATTTCTATAAACTAGTGATTGATGTTTTCTTTGTATTGTGTTATCTTCTTCTAGGTTAGTCACTATTCCTAAGAGCAGGATATAGTACACCTACTTATTACTCGTAGCGCTTTCATCAGGTGTCATACTTACAGGATCCTATTCCGATTCACTCATACATTTTCATTACACTATATCAACATTAAATTTGATGGCTGCATTGTAAAGCATTCAAAGACCTGATGCTGTGTATCAATGTACATTGTATGTCCTCTTCACTGAAACAATAATGCCCTAATGTTCCAAGTAAAATATTCCAAAGGGCCCTGTCTGACCCTCTGTAGATTTCCAGAGTATACCAATCTGGGGATAAAGTGATCATCAGCATCTCAGGAAAACAGCATTTTATGCATGGCTATATGAGAATTTGCTAACCATTATTATAGGCCAATCTAATATCTGAGCACAGAACTACAATGATGGCAAATTGTTGGGATGGGGTCTTCAGGCGCCCAATAAGCAAATTTGTCCTTCAAAGAAACCACTTGACTCAAGCAATCCCAATGAGTGAGACTCTGTTGCCTGGAGTTCAAGAAAAAGAAAGGCAGCATTAATCAGAACAGAACTTGAGACAGAAGCTAACCTTCTTCCTTTGTATTAGAGCAGAATTTGTACACGTTTTGGATTGGCAGTTTCATAATGTGGTATGCAATGGTTGCGAATCTGTGGACAGATTCTCTGCGTCCATCAAGGTATTTTAGTTTAGCTTTACCTTGGGTTTCCGTTAAGATGGAAGATTAGTAATATAATACAGCAAGTTTGAGGAGTAAATTATAACAGACAATGTTGAAACTGTTGCACAAGAAGGTTAGAGAAGACCCTCACTTCAGGTCCTTTAGGAGGTTGAGACCAATGCCACATCACATATTGGAGGAAAACTGAGTTAATGGATATGTCCAGTGGAATAGAAGGGGGCTGGAATGTGGGATTTGAGTTGATAAGAGTAGGATGCAGAGGACAGATGTCAAATGAAGAGTAGGTAAAGGAGCTTTGATATTGATGAGGATTTAGTTAGAAGCATCACAAAATGGATGTTGCGTGGACAAAGTTATAGGTAGTAACTATCAATACAACATGTTATGAGCCGTATAAGGCTACTCTACATATGCTTATACATGTTTGCTCTCATATCTTGTACGCTGTTGAGCACAGACTATAGTCCTCACGTTGCAATCTACTTAGTACTAGAAGGACCTCATTAGTCTTCTCTCATCTCTCATCATCCTATCGAGTCCTTACATATTGCAACGTCTTAAATCCAAGAGATCGGAGAAGGTTAATAAATTAAAGAACAAGCAAAAGTTTAAATTAGAAAAGCAAAGAAGAAAAAAGTTTAAAATAGATCAAAGTTTAAAGAAAAGAAGATTAAAGTTATTAGTCAAGACAAAGTGAAAAAAGTGAAGAACGAAGAAGTTGGAAATTAACAAAAATTAGATTAGAAAGTTTAGAAAATCCCCTCGGCAATTTAAAGTTTCAAACTCTGTTAAAGCGCGAATATCAAAGCTTAATCATCAGCCTTTCATATAATCAATCACCACGCCGGAATTCACCACCCCCCAAAGCCCGACTTCTACAACTTCTGCAGGCCGAGAATCCGAATTCTTAGACGCTCTCGAACCTATGATCGATCCCAATATGTCGGAAGTTAACATGTCAGAAGCAAGTTTAGCTGGAATCATGCAGCAACTTAACAATTTGACGGCTAGATTGAATGACGAAACCCGCCGGAGAGAAGAGGCGGAAGCCAATCAACGTGCTGCCGACGCCAAACGTATAGAAGTCGAGCAGAGATTGTTACAGTTAGAACAAACTCAAACTCAACAATCACAATCAGCTCCTGCAGCTCAAGTCTCTACTCCAATGTCTTCCACGACCATCCCAACGTTTCCTGGAAACGTTGGTGCTACCTATACTCAAGTGCAACAAGTTAGACCGCCTAAAATCGCAACCCCAGACAAATTTGATGGATCTAAAGGATCTAAGGCTGAAATCTTCATGAATCAAATCGGAATTTACATGCAAATGAACTCTGAGTCATTCGCCGATGAAAAAGCTCAAGTCGCGTTCGCGCTGTCTTATTTGACTGGAAAAGCAAGCATTTGGGGTCAAGCTTTCACGGATCAATTATTAGATTCAGAAAAAGCTCATCTTGTAAATTGGACCAAATTTGCCAATTCCTTCCGAGCGACGTTCTTTGATACTGAAAGACTTCCAAAAGCTGAAAATGAGATTCGTAATCTAAAGCAAACTAGAGCAGTGTCCGATTATTGGATCACGTTTTCTGAGCTCTCTTTAATCGTTAAATGGCC